CGCTCCCCTTAGCCGACAGATCCGCGTCTAGACTGCCGCGCTCTGCCGGATCAGCTGTTCGTCGGCACAGTGCGGCGGCCATGTTTATTTTAATGAAGCGGGGATTATTTAAATCCCCGCTTCGTTGACTATGTCGGGTAGCCTAATCTACATGCCTCTGTTGGCAGAGGCATGTAATCTAGACATACCCTTAGAGTTGGTCCTTCAAGGTAAAGGATGGAGCAGAGTGGTATGGGACAAGTTAGCACTGCTGTTCCCCATGCTGTACGTGATTGGCAGCTACTGAAAGAACTTCAGCTTCCAGGGCCAACAATCTGGAACTTTTCAAGAGCTCAGAAAATTAAATAGTTTTTAGGGTTTTGGGGGAAAAAACCCTAAAACAACCCTACATGAGAAATACAATGAAACAGAAGGGTGGAAAGGTCCATTTGTCAAGAAAAAGCTGTTCTGGGGATGATTTCTGCAAAGCACATGACCATGGACAGATACAACAGCCCCCTGAGTACCTGGCTGAGCAGTTTGCTCTCTGTTTTTTAATGACATTTTCCATCCACTTGTAGTGTTCCTAGAACTTCCTTGCAACATCTCAGACTGTTGTCCAGATACCATGTACGTATCACACCAAAGAATCATCACTTGATTTAGCACTAGAAAGGGCAAGGAGACACTCCCTCTCCCAAATCCTGCTCCTGATTAACCTTAAAAAGCAGCGAGGAGTCCTGTGGCACCTTATAGACTAACCGAAGTGTTGGAGCATAAGCTTTCGTGGTGCATGTCTATGCCCACGCTTTTGCCGCTCCTTGCCGCTTTTGCAGATTCAGACTAACACAGCTACCCCTCTGATTAACCTTAGTACCACATCTCTCCAGACTTCCACAGGAGCAGAATCAGGCCCAGGCAGATATTCCAAACCCCATTCTGAACTCATTGGCCAGGCAAAACACAGGACTAGATTGATTAGAATATTAAACCCCTCCTCTCTCTGATATCAACCTATGTAGAAAACAGCACTGTGCAGCAATTGGAGCTGGGGATGGGAACAAAAGCTTATATTCTCCAATCTGCCACCAATCCCATCTGACTTTGGGTGACAACATCCACAATTGCATGCAAATTATTCCACACCCCCCCCACCATGAGTGTTTAAGAGCGTTGAGGTCCTAGCTCAAAGTAATACAGGAGGACAAAGCATTGTAATATCACGTCATACTGCAAGACTATTAAAACAGTTATGATTCCAATCTTTGTTTTCACCAGATGTCCCTAAAACAAGCTCTTCTGTTCAGTAAATCTTGCCTACAAACAAGCTATTGAAACAGCTATTGTGAACAGGTTGCTGTACACACAACTATTTTATGTCTAAGCAGCGTCAGAGTCTATTATTATGTGCCCGTAGCTACCTCATCTAGAGGTGCTGGTTATGCAACTTTAAATGCATCCTATGTAATCTGCCTACTTAAAGAATAAATTGATTGGCAAATTTCTAGCCAGTTGCATGTAAAATAAAATTTAAAAGGACATTATCAAGTCAAAGTTTTTTTATAAATATTTCTATGATTTGCCCAACAGGCATTTTTTGTTTTTAACAAAAATTGCTGCATGTGCAGACTGGGTCAGTGCAAAAAAAGTGTAAAATGAAAGTGAGAAGTCCTAAAAGTGAAGCTAACTAGCATAGTTTAATTGTTTACACTGAGAATGAAAAATCAAACAAGAGATTCAATTTTTCATTTACTATTTACATCTTGGATTACTAACACAGGTAAGTATTTTTTCAAAACAACTGAACTTGTCAATATCTCATAAAGACACAACACCCTTGAAAATGACTTATCTTGTAATAAGCCAAAGGAAGCATCCTCCCAATGGGTACACATTTAAAATGTACTTCAAAAGCAGTGTTAACATACAACTGTATTTAGATTGTGGCAGTTACACACGACTATGTTCACTTCTGAAAGAAGGAATCTGTGTAGAAGTAGAATTCTGTTGTCTGATTGGGAGCATAAGTACATAAACATGTGCATGAAACCCATGACCCTTTAGCTCTTTCCAGGAATGTTCCCTGCACTTATACGACCTCTTTTTAACATTACAGGATCAAAGCAGAAGGTGTGTAATTACAAAAACAAAAAGCCTTGAAAGTGCCCTTTAATCCTGTATTTGATGCCTTATTATAAGAAAAATTGAGCATTATTTTTATAAAGTCACCTTATAATCGAGTAGGATTGGATGCACTGATGGGAAGTTACAGATGGTTTTAAACTGGATTTAAAAGTGACCTTAAGGGTTGGTGCTAGAATTAGGGATGTGAAGGACTAATCCCCTACCACTTTGAAACGCTGCATGCACCCCATGGCCAGCTGGGATGTCCCAAGGCTCCACATGGCTTTTCAAAGCAGCAGCGCCATGTGGAGCCCGGGATCAGCTGGGACTCCCTGGCTGATCCCAGGCTCCACGTGGCGCTGTTGTTTTCAAACGCCAAGAGGAGCCTGACACCAGCTTTTCGAAGCAGCAGCGCCGCATGGATCCCAGTGATCAGCTGGGGAGTCCCTGCTGATTCCAGGATCCATGTGGTGCTTTCACCTTTAAAGTGTAGCAACAACCCTAGGGCTGTTTCTACATTTCAAAGGTGGAGATGCGCTATCAACTAGTTGATGCAAAATGCATCAGCTATTCGATTAGTCAATTACCCACAATTTGACATCCCTAGCTAGAATAACATGTTAGTGGAAGGAATTTACTTCAAATGTCATTATGTGACTTGCCAAATACACCTCTCTCTCCTCCCCCTTTCCAGGACCATAATTCCTGCCCTCAACCAGCAGTGCAAATAGGGCAGTACGATTCAATATGCCATAGCAGCCAGATAGTTATAGCCGGCATAGTGTACTGGAAAGACACAGGAGGAGGAGAACATCAGCATGTCCTCTGGTGCAGCTGTATCACCCCAACCCCATCCTCCAGCAGGGCTTCTGTGCAGATGGAGGAGACCCTGCATGGAAGGCTGTGGGGGCAGAGCTGCAGTGGAAAGAGCACTGATACGCACAGTCTGCTTCTTTTCCTGCTGCGGTTCCAAAGTCTCCTTCTGCTGCGCTGGACAGAGGCTCCCCCCCCCATCCCTATTAAGGGGTGGTGGGTCATGTGGAGGGGACAGGGAGAGAGTGGGGGCCTCAGGATGGAGGCGGGGCAGGGAGGAGTCATGTGGAAGGTCACATGAGGTCATGTGCCCCCCATTAGCCGCTGCCTTGCCCTGTACTGGTAAGAAATGGATTCCACTTGCACCACTGCCCTCAAATGTCTAGTTCTTCCCACCCTAGCAAGTGAAGTGCTGTTAATATAGATGCCAGTTATTAAAACCTTACAACATTTACTTTCTGATGAGGAAGACAAAGGGTATTCAATAAAGTGGATTTTGTAAAAAGCGCATACCAAAAATTCAAAAAAGGGCAGAGGCCCTTAATTTTTCTTCTTTTTGGATTTTTTTCTAACACTTAAGAATGCATTTAAATGGTATTATGCAAGCCATAAAAAATCAGAGCATTCAAACTTAAGCAGACACGCTCCCCTTAAATCATGTCCTTTGGAATGGAGAAAATAAAGAATGAAAAATGCATTGTCAGCTTGAAACTTGAATTTCCTACCGAGTCACATTAACATTTTTTAAATGAAGAAAATAATGTTCCATGTGTAATTAGAAAAGATGGGATATTTTATCCCATTGACTGTATCAGTATGAATTCCTATTGGGGGGGAATTATGATCAAAACAATAACCAATACACTGCCTCTTCCAAGGCCTCATTATGCTTTTGGTACAATCCAGACCATGAAAGGATATAAGGATGGTATACCCAAAGGGTATCATTGAGCCAGTCCATGCCATTATCTTGCTGTAACAAGTGATCATACGTGATACACATAAACTTGATATCTTCTTCATCTATTCCTCCATTCCAAATATCATACAAAATGGTCATCTCCTCGAATTCAGAGCGGGGTCTGAAGTGGGGCCAACGTGGAGAATATTCAGGGGAAGGAATCACTGGAATGTCCTCAGGTATCTTTTTCTGCCTTCGCCACTGTCTTTTAGGTTTCACATGAGCCTTCTCTTCTTTGAAGTCCTCATGCCACTGATTCTCTAGTTCCTTAAATGGAAGTTTCTCTGCAATAGCCTCCGGGGTTACCTTCTCGTGGAAGCTGTCATTCCTGAAGTCTAGGGTGACTGCTTCAGGATCTTTCAGTCCACAAAAAGCATCAGGATGCCTGCCCACTAATTCTTTGCTCACAGCACATTCAGTCAAGGCAACAGGTACAGGAGGAGACTCTGAAGTTTTGCTGGGATAGGCCTCCAAAGAAAGGACTGAAGGAGGTGATCGTTTCGGCCGACCCGGTTTCCTTTTGGTGGGCAGAGAGGGGGGAGGAGGAAGACACACAGTAGGTGCTTCTGGGTAGAGCAAAACAGCTTTCATGGCTACCCTGCTCTCCTCTATGGATGTCTTGACATCCACTGGCAAGCATGGCAGGGCTGCTACAGATACTGGCTCATTGGGAGGCAAGTCTATGTCTGTGTGAAAATCAGCTGCAGCAGGGCTAGCAAAGGGAATTGGGGAAGGAACACTGTTCATGCTAACCGTTAAGGAAGCACTAAGAGGTTCTTTAAAGCATTTTTCATCTAGCTCATCTGATGGCTTCTTGCCAGACAAAAGGCAAGGAAGGGTCACACTAGGCTCTGGGAAAGTAGGTGTGAAATTAAAATCCCTCCCAGGAGTCCGAGGAATGCCACTATTAATCCCAGGAGATTGAGATGGATATGAAAATGGGCTGCCCGGGACTTGAGGGGAACTTAAAGTCAAGCTGCTTGCTGTAAGGGGACCATCACTGCCAGGGGTGAGTGGAACAGTGTCTGTACTCCGTGACTTTGCAAAGCCATGTGAAGATTTGGCCATAATATCCCGCCCTGGAGTCCTAGGAAGCTCCTCTTCCAGAGCTGTTTTGGTCACAATTAACTGTTCAGGGAAATTTTCTGGAGGGAGTAAAGATTTCTCTTTACTGGGTGTTAATGGAAGGGGAAGCGTAGAGGGTGGCACCTTATGAACTGGAAGTATTGGAGTATCAGAATCCGAGTGGACCACTGTGTCCCGCTTAGGAGTCCAAGGCAGTCTCTCCTCCTCCTCTGCTGCGGATAGTTTTCCTGTAACTTGGGCATCTAAGTCACTATCATCAGACTTACTGAATAGAGGTTCTCCAAATACCCCCATTGGTGCTGAGGGACAGAGATTCTCTTCTTCATCATGAGATTCAGGCTTTGGACCCTCTAGCACCTTAGGCTCGATATCCAGTTCAGATTCTTCCACTGAGGAGAAAAACAGAATGATCTCCATTCAGTTGTTAATCAGTTCCCAGGGTTCTGCCATTACAAAACCAGCTCATATCCACTGGGAAGCTTTAAAATAGGGACATAAAAAAGGTCTTTAAAAAGTAACCACGTAACTATTAAAAATCCTAGTGATTACACACGCTGCAGGCTCCGCAGTATAAGCTGTATACTGCAGAGCCTGCAGCCAGCTCCCGGGACCGGGGTTAGCAGCGCAGAAGAGTTTAACCACAATCGGAACCAATAAACTGATGCTTATCGGTTAAATGGTTAAACTCTTACATCCCTACTTTAAAAACTCTGCCACTTCCCATTTTGGAAGCATAGAGAGGGGAGTAATTAGAACCCTGAAGCAACCACAGATATCCCTAATAAACCACCAGAAAACCCTATTAATTGGGGAACTAGCTATTTTAGAAGCTAGAACCAAGGTATCTTGCTTATAAAGCACTTTGCTTACATAAACCTTGGCTGGCTTCTTACAGCCATAAAAACATTAGTGAAGAATTTGGGAAAGGCTGTTCGTAAGCAAGCTGTGAGAGCCCTGAGCTGTCCCTATTTTTTTTTCTAGGAGGTGGCAAATTAACTGCAGGACCAGCAAGAATGACAATGGAGCAAGGGGGAAGTGTAATGCTCCTGAACATAACACGGAAGAAATGGGAGACCACTGTAACAAATGCAGATACACTCAGTTGGTATTGCTGAGGCAATTTATATACTGCTCTAGCTGTAATACTTTCAATTTTTTGTATTTTATTTACCTCCGTAGAGCCTAGGGCCAAAAGGAACCAACACTCAATCTATAAGGCAACTTGAAATAGCATTTTCAAGAGGAAAAAGGAAGGAGTGTGGAAATAACCTGCTAACTGGCTAGACATCTCAGGTCTATGCTAAGGAGCAAAGGTGGAACAAGGATTCCTGACCTTTGCAGGGAGGTCTGACTCATTTCACTCTTGGGCAATTGCATTGGGATATCTTAACAGGAAGCAGCAATGCTAGTGCTAAAGATTTCTCCTGAATTCTAATATGCCACTTCCAATGAAGATTCCCCACATCAGTGCCACCTTTCCTGGAGCAGAATTCAGACTACTTCAGCCGTCCAAGGACGAGCTTGTTTTAGGAAGTAGTTCCTTTTCTGTCCCCAAGAGGTGAGCCTATGGCCAACACACAGCTTCCAGGTCCCATCGCAGCCCAGAAGTAAATGGCTGAGGAGGGACCAGAACTGCTGTCCCTCAGTGGTGGTAAACTTGTGGCCCATCAGGGTAATCTGACTGTAGGCCATGAGACATTTTGCTGACATTAACGGTCTGCAGGCACCATCCCCTGCACCTTCCAGTGACCACAGTTCTCTGTTCCTAGCCAATGGGAGCTGTGGGAAGTGGTGGCCAGCACATCCCTGTGGACCCCAGGCTGCAGGTTGCTCACCACTGCTGTAGATTGTCAAGCTTTACCCACCTCACTCCTATTTTAATAACAGTTTTTTAAAATCTCATGAGGTTGTCTTCACACGTAACATATGACTCTGAATTTAAGGAACACACCAGAAGACCAATTTCTCTCTCCTAGCAATGCTGGGACAAATGTTCATTTACAAGGGAGCTAAGTGAAAAGACCCTGTAGGTGGGAGACCTAATGTAGGTCTGAGATTCCACCGTCCTCAAGTCCTGTTAACTCTCTCATTCCATACCCCAGTCACATAGCTCCTTAACAACCAAAGCACTAAAGGAGCCATCTCCTGGCTGTTGGTAAATGTAAAGTCCCAGGGCTCATCTACAGGAAACTTCATAGATTAACTCTGAAATACTGCATAGGTCACTCATTCACACACCTCTAAGAGTATGTCCACACTGTGATAAAACACCTGCAACACTGAATCTTAGAGCCTGGCTCAGGTGACTCAGACTCAAGGGCTACGTCTACACTGGCCCCTTTTCCGGAAGGGGCATGTTAATTTCAGCTATCGTAGTAGGGAAATCCGCGGGGGATTTAAATATCCCCCGCGGCATTTAAATAAAAATGTCCGCCGCTTTTTTCCGGCTTTTAGAAAAGCCGGAAAAGAGCGTCTACACTGGCCCCGATCCTCCGGAAAAAGCGCCCTTTTCCGGAGGGGCTACGTCTACACTGGCCCCTTTTCCGGAAGGGGCATGTTAATTTCAGCTATCGTAGTAGGGAAATCCGCGGGGGATTTAAATATCCCCCGCGGCATTTAAATAAAAATGTCCGCCGCTTTTTTCCGGCTTTTAGAAAAGCCGGAAAAGAGCGTCTACACTGGCCCCGATCCTCCGGAAAAAGCGCCCTTTTCCGGAGGCTCTTATTCCTACTTCAAAGTAGGAATAAGAGCCTCCGGAAAAGGGCGCTTTTTCCGGAGGATCGGGGCCAGTGTAGACGCTCTTTTCCGGCTTTTCTAAACGCCGGAAAAAAGCGGCGGACATTTTTATTTAAATGCCGCGGGGGATATTTAAATCCCCCGCGCATTTCCCTACTACGACT